TACTTTCAGAAACTAAAGCGCTAAAAAAATTATTTACAGAATCGTGTTAAAAATATCTGATAAATGTTATAATATTAATGTGATGATATTTGGGGCAGCTTTATCAAAAAAGCTTTATGAAATACAAACATTTCCATTGAATTAAAAATACATTGTGTAAGTTTGTCAAATCAGCTAATGTTCTAGTCAAATCTAGAACACATGAAGGTATATCAAAAAACCCTGGAGGAGGAAAAAGAAACATGCTTGGTGCTATGAACTATCTGAAAATCTATTTCTGTTTGACCTGAATTACTAATTCTAGATTTAAAAACTACTTTGGATTCCAAAATCTAAATTAATCAAGATGTGGGGCACCTGGGTGGCTCAGTGGATTGAGGGTCTGCCTTCAGCTCAGGTTATGATCCTGGGGTCCCGGAATCTAACCTAGGGTCAGACTCCCTGCTCAGCGGGGAGTCTGCTTCTCCCTCTCCCTCTGCTCCCTCCCTTTGCTCCTGCTCTCTCTCTCTCTCTAAAAATAAATTAAAAATATTTAAAAAATTAAAAAAAAAACACAAATAATTCAAGATATGATTTTTAACATGTTTTTGATTGACAGCAAATTAAAAAATATCATTATAGGTTTTCTTTTCCCTTGGGCATTAAAAATATAATATGTACTTTTAAACTTCTTGCTTTATTTTAGCAAAGAGGCGATCACAGGAGTCTTTCCTAAGATGTTCTAAATTGAGAAAACCATTTTCTAGTATCTAGTGACAATCAGACACATTACTTGATAGTTATTGTGTATATGTATAAGCTGCTATCGCTAGGTCCTGTAAAGTGTGTGTGTATGTGTGATGTTTTACCTATTCCAACAGAATCTAGAACTAAAATTGGTCTTATTTCTTTACAGTTCTAGTCTTCTAGTGGACAGTCTGTTTTGTCCTATACAGACCTTTTATTCAATGAATAATTCAGACTCAAACTGCATATTGGTAACTATATTTTAAACCAAAAAAAATTCCTCACATAATAAATACATTTTATGCACATTAACTTCAAATTTACTTCAGAAAGCTATTTACAATATAAATAATTATAAATGGGAACACTTTGCAAGATATCATTGACATAGCTAATATCTTCTACTTTACATTCCAAAGTAAAAGTTCAAATTACAGATTTATACTATGATACCACTAAAAACTATACATTGCAAGATGGTATTTGAAATATTGGCAATCAGTATCTTCTTTCACAAATATAATCCTTTTTATAGCATGTCAGTCAAAAAACAAACATAAAATATTTTTATCTTTTTTGAAGTGTCTACTCATAAGTTTCACTTTTTGAAATATTTCCCTTTGGAAAAAAAAACGGAAAAAAGTTACAGTACTTCTAAAAATTTTTCCACGCCAATTTCATTTCTTTTGAAATGTAAGCACACCAGGGTTGTTGGTGTAAATTCAACTGTGATTAAATGTGTTCCGGATCAGCAAATTAGGACAAACTCTCCACTATATAGGTATATGAAAGCAAAGTCCCATGCAGCGAAATTTTTGCAATAAATTAAATTGTAAGTGTTTGGTTCAAAAGTTTTAGGACTTCTTGTGTGAACCATCAGTTTTTAAAGAGCACAGCAGAACAGAATCTTGTTACTCGCTTTACAACTGTGTGTGTGTATATATATATACACATATATGTATATACACATACATATATATACACACATATGTATATACACACCTGTATATACACACAAATATGTGTGTATAGAGATACACACACACACACATACACACATGTGTAGCCTTTCTGCATACAGTCCTAGAGAAGGAACTCTGAACAAACCCCTATTTAATATGAGCACAATATCACATTTTGAGTTAAGCACTACCCGTACAACTCCTGTGCACAAGAAATGAGCACCACATGGTCATTTCCCCCAAGAACATTTTCTTTGTAAGATACCCTTTGCATGTGCCCATAGTTGTCCTGTCATTCATTTAAAGTTTAGAATGATCTTTTATCCACAATGCATGTCCCAGTAAGAACTAACCAGTAGGTTCTGCTGTCTTAGAGTCAAATCCCTATTCACAAAAACTGACATTTACATGAAAATTGAATCACTTATTTGGAGAGCCGTAGGATTTACATTCTTTAAATCATTCAGAAAATAAAATGTATATCTATGTTCTATGGTTTGAATGAACTGAGGAACCAAAGCTGGGCATTCAAACTTGTTTAAAGCAAAGAAAGTGTATTAAAGTGTAAGCTAGTCCACTGGGCAAGGTAAGTAACCCCCAAATAACCAAATCGTCACTTTTCCAAGAATCAGCATTCACTCTGTCACTTCCAAACACTACTAGTACTAATAGAATTGCACTGAATATCTTAGTCATGTCCTGCTCTTGAAAGGGAGAGTGAGCTATAAAATAACATAACTGTATTTAGAATGTCTCTTTAGCTGTAGTGTCGTCTATCAAACTTGTCTAAACCAAGGTCTAGATCTTGGATGGTAAAAAGCCTTTCATTTTATTTTAAGATAACTATGCATATTTTCCAAATGACCTTTTATTGAATAGATCGTTATCCCTCATTTAAAAAAGAAAAGAAAATGAAGCATATTATCCTTTTCTGGAAGATCCCATTAAAGCTTATTTTAAGTGGGATTCTCTGCCCAAAGGCAGCATGTGGCAGCAGGGTGTAGAGAGAATTAAGAATAGTACCCAATGGAAATATTCTAGCCCTATAAAATATAATCAAGAGAGAATGAGTGGGTTTTCTGTATAAACACTGAAAGTTAATTACTTATTGCATCCTGTCTCATTTTGAATGTCACATCAGCACTCTATCATATTATCCTAGGTCAGGCAATTATGGTTTAGAAAAGCTAGCCCGTGATATCCAGCATAGTAGGTCAAAAGATTTGTGAAACTGAGGAACAACTAAATGTCCGTCTGTAGTGTTTATGACATTAATATTATGCATCCAAAAATAATACATCAGATCTGTATATTCTCAATAGTTTTAATAGAATTTTCTCAAGGAACATTGGGGAAATATTTATTAATTTCTTTGGTCATCCAACTTGTTAAATTAGGTCTGACAGGTAGGTAAAATGGGCGATAAGGATATTCTTACTATTACTAGAAAGCATGAACTTTGTATCATCTAATGAATTGCTACATATTACACTAGCAATTGGATATAGCACATTTTTATGAATCCGGATGATATAAGAATCATACTTCTCTATTTCTATTGAGTATCATGATTCTCAACATTTAGCAAAGTTATGGAACTCAAGGATTAAAACTAAAGCCAATTTAACTTTAACTAAGTAAGTTATTGGGAACATATGCATTTTACATCCCGTATTTTAAAAAGACACAGATGACATCTTCATTATGAGGAAATATGTTCCTGGACAGAACAAGATAATGTAGATTATAAATACATTTTAACACATTGTGTATATTAAAAAGGTACTTTGTCATAAACTATCTTGTTTTGGGGTCATTTTGTAATAATCATGCCACATTGCAAAAATTGTAAGCTTATAATAATACTATGGACCTGGAAGGCATTATATGTAATGTAATAAATCTGCCACTATAAAATTATTGACATGTAAGTTAAATAAATTGTTTGTATTTAAAACTGAGTCACCTACCAAAATTTTTAATTAGGATGTAACATAGGTATTTCTGTCTTCACTTAAAAATATTGGTCATACCATTTTAAAGAGCATTATTTCTTCTGATTATCCCCTAATGGTAGAGTGCATAATCTATTTTTTACCAATTAACTATCTGCCATTTTAGGATTTCACTGAAGTCTCTTCAATGGTGTTCTTTTCTTTCATATCAGTTCCTTTTCCTTGATTCTGAGGACTCTATTTATTTTATAGCATCTGTCCCTGACATTTTTGGTAGAATGTATATCCATCAGTAAAACCCATCTGTATAGATTTCCTTTCCAAAATACACCATATTCTTCTGATACTTGTGCCTTTGAACCACTTACCCACCTACAGAATTCCCCCAAAACTTCAGCATTCCTAAAACCTTACTTCATGTTTCAAATTGATCAAAAATCTATTTTAAGTATTCCAGAGGTTTTTCATGAATATTCTTCTCAAAATCACTACACACTTTTTGCTTCCATAGTTTAATATGTAGTTTCTCTTGTTCTTTGAACTTTTTTGAAAGTATATATGAGAACCACTAACTTCCTCACTTACACTTTTTCCCTTTATGACACAAATGTTGCTATGTCATACCCAAGAAATACTTAATTTCATGTCACCTCTGTTGTCATATACAAATGACCCCCTCTTCATCTCTCAGATTATCATCATTCAGATTGTCGCCTACCTATAAACTGCCAAATAACTGTGTTAAATGATGAAACTAGAGTACTAATCCCTGAGTGGTCAGTGTCATGTTCTGTCTTCAAAATCATGAGTCCATTTCTTCCAATACATTCCCCTCCTTGCAGATGGCAAGGGTTGCAGGCATGGGACGCCTAGGAAATACTGCCTAAGAAACTTCTCTAATCACTTGCATGATTTAACTTTGCCTTGATCACTAGAGACTAGTGCATGAAATAAATCGTCCTTGTTTTCCTATTCCCTCACCAGTTTTTACCATCCACATTCTGGCTGGACCAGAAAGTTGACTATAACTACACATGCCTAAAAGAACCCATGCACCTGCTGAATTTACAAAGAACCTGGACCTCTGCAGGAGTGCAGACAAGCCAGAATGATGGTCTTGACAACTGACAGTGGAGAGCTAACAGGTCAACAACTGTAATTCTGCCGCACCGATGATCCACAGAACCAGGGCACGTCAGAAGGTCCATACAGACAAAAAAAGTAGGGCCCAGGCACAGTGAGTGATACATCGATATTCCCAAACTCACTCACAGGCAGGGCGAGGACTGGAACCCAGAGATCTTGCATTCAAGTCTGCTGGTTTTTCTACCATACCGCACGAACTTAAGACCAAGTTTGTTGTTTCCGTCGTTCACAGACAATAGGGGAAATGAGCGCTTTGAGTGTTCCTTCATTTGAAGTGACTCTTACCCTTTTGGCCACCTGTCCATCAGCCCAAGCTTTTATCTTGGGCTCTCCCTGAGGCTTTCCACATGTTGTCGCATTTGCACATCTGTGCTCTGAAATGTTCTCGTTCACACTGCCACCATGTAGCCCTCCACTGGCTTTCCTTAGTTCTTTTTTGTACTTATCAGCCTTTTTTTGCTTGGTGAATTGGTTTGAGTCTTTTATTTGGTTGGTTTTATAGCCTCAAATATATTGATTACGTATTTAGAGGCTTAAATTTTTGTGTTGAGATATCATTTCATTTCTCTCTGTCTCTGGCCTTTCCATCTTTCCTAAACTATTTCCAATTGGGCACACCAGGTTTTCGATGTGTGTCTCAACATCTTAGTCCTTTTACTTAGAAAACCCTTACTGCTATGTCAGTGTGATCCTGTTCCTCATCTAACTCAAAAGTAAGGTGAAAAATCACCACTTCCTGATTGCTTATAATGGATACCAGGTGGAAAACTCATTCTTGTACCATACCCGGAACCATTTCCCTAATTTATGCCTGAACCAAATGGGCTGACTGGTTGAAATCACAACCAAGAAACCACTTTACAAGATGTAGCTCTCTCTCTTTCTCTCAGTTATTTTAGGAATGGAAATTTCTTCAATAAGCTTAATATGCTAGGGTTAAGAAAACTTACCCATTTGGGTTGTATTTAAGGTATACAGTCAACATTTCTGCATGTAAAGTGTACACAGCAGTGTGTGGAGGGTGGTCCGTGTGTGTGAGGTTTACTGGAGCATCACAGTGCAATGCTGTCTTCTACCAGTCCTTTAATGTGATATATATGCTCATTTAATCTACACGAGTACTTCTCAAATCAAACTTTATCTATTCTGGTTCCCATATAATTTAGAGGGGCAATTTATGTATTCATTTAACTCCATTATCTGCGTGTAACCCTGAATGCTAGTGCTCTTTGATTTTGCAGGAACACATGTCAAATATCCAGTAACTTAAATTATCCTCTGTAACCATCTGTGGCATAGTAAATGCTGGTAACGGGGCATTAAACTATAAATATGTTTCAGAGAGCCTTAAAGAACAAAATATTTTAGAAAAACATCAGCTTCCATTGGTTATTATAACAGATGTTCCCTTGTGTCCTTGTGCCGGGTCTGGCTGCATCCTTAGATGGGAAGTGACATCAAAGTGTGAGCCATTACAGCCCAAGGAATAGTTTCTAATGGTTTCACTGTCATATAAGTGCTCCAGGGCATATCCAGTTAATGTGTAAGCGTGCTTATCAAAATACTGCCGGTGAGAACCAAAGCAGTTTGGCGAGACGGCAGGATGGTCTCCTGCTGTCTGATGTGGAGACGTATCCGAATGTAGATAGTCTTTAGCTAAGATCAAACTGGATTTTGAAATGCGATCCGAATTGGGACTACTTATTCGAGACAGTGCAGTGGGACTGTTGTCATAGTCATTTTCGTGGGGGCTCAGCATCTTTCCCTCTCTCTGCTGGATGTGGTCACACGGTGAAGTGTTGGCAAGAGCCGAGCTGTGGCAGACCTCCCCTGCTGGCGGGGGCTGTTGGTAGTTTGCAAAACAGAGGGAGTGTTTTTTCCCAGCTCCATTAATGGAAGCCAGTTGGTCTGGGGGGGCCTTCCTTAGCTGCAATCTGTTCTCTTCTTCTTTAATCATTTGCTGGGTGGCTCTTATCAGAGTTTCAATTTTGCTAGGTTCGTGTGGGCTACTTTGATACTGCTCAGTGCGGTATCGGTCACCTGATTCGCTGGCAGACCCAGGGTCTGGAGAACTGACCACACTATCTTCATCCCAATGACCTCGCCCTAGAAATTAGAAAAAGGAAAAAGTAAGTGTTCTCAAAATTGACCCCCAAAACTGTGTGTTTCTTTTTCCTATTAAAAGAAAACTTCATCTTTCATTTTAAATGTATGCACCAATATTTGAAACAGACATGGGCTCGCATGACAAAGCGTCAATGTATTGTACTGGCATTCGTAGTTTTCAGTGGCTTTTAAGTGCAGATGAAGTTTATCACAAGTTTTTTAGAAAGTAAACCTTGCCCATGGGTCCTAGAGGCCAATTAACAAAATGATATGAGTGTTTATACTTCTCCATGTATGCATATCGTTGGACCTGTCTGACTGCAAATAATAAAAGAAAAATGCATACATAACATTTGGTTGATGAGACTTTCTAGAGAAATGTTATGCTTAGAAAATGCTTTCCATTGAGTTTGAGGAAGATGATGATAGAGACTGAACTACCTTCCCAATTCCAAATAAATCATCTAAAATGTTAAAATCATTAAGTGTATCCTAAGTAGAATTACAATAAAGCTCTAATGTTAGTTTTAAAACCATTTGAGGGTTAGATAAATACATATATATTCATAAGTACAGATATGTGTATATGCATGCATGGATATAGATATCTTGTCCCAATCAAAAATATAAATATTGTCTCTTCAAATCTAGAGATAAAAATCTCAGTTTCACATATACTCATACAGTAACTCTGGTATCTTAGTTTCTGAAGTAAGGTAAAGAACAAATAAATATTTAAAATGTTAATAGCAATCTGTTCTGAACCCCAGAGAGAGATCTAATACAGGAACAATGCATCCAAAATATATTCCATAAGCTACATTATTCTTAAAGCAGTGTGAAGTCAATATAAAAGGGGAAAAGAAAAGCAGGAAGGGACATATGAAAGCTGTAAACTGCTTAATGCAGAAGAGAAGCCCTGGATCACACTGTTCATTGCTTTCCTTTTCCTCTTTCTTCTTATTTTATTTCTAATATTTTCTTCCAGACCATGTAGGTTAAGCCAGGATTTTCGCTTCACTCCATTCTTTGGCAAGCAATTGCCCTTTGCCCTGGGTTTCCATGACCAGTCTACCACACTAGAGAAACTCAAAGCAAAAGCAGAAAAATAAAAAGCAAAAACAGAAACAAATGAAAATCCTTCGTGGAAGGCCGTCAGTGCCTGGGTGGTGTTTGACAGAGACTACGGGTGAATGACAACATTGTTCAGCGCGTTTCCCACCCTAAAGACCCAGCCAGAAGGGTAATATTACCCTGTTAGATCAACCTTAATGTCACTGACTTTTAATGAAACAGGGAGGGTGTCAGAGACCTGTCCGGGCCCAAGCCTGGAATGGACAGAGCGGGCTCTCCCTCACCAGTTTACTTTGAAATGAACAAAAAAGAGCGTTAGTGACCCTAAAAGCTTCCACCACAGTGCCCGTTTCTATGTGGTCGTAAAACTGCACAATAATCCCAGGGTGAAAATTTCCATGGGTTCTGTATATCATTCCATCTTTCACCCACAGAAGACACTAAGGGTTTTCATAATAATGCAGGAGGGGGTGGTTACCATATTTAATGCCCAGCAGAGCGTTCAACCACCTGTGAAGTGAGCGACAGACCGTACAGCAAAGCCTGGACTCCCCAGGAGGTCAGTGGTGGCCTCATTGAGAAGCACTGCTGATGAGCCCCAAAACTACAGAGGTCTACTTTTGAAGCATCAGAATACAGAAGAAAATCATACGCAAGAAATTTAAACACATACATATTCCACGTTCAACAGACTTACTCAATATTTGACTTTCACTTAATTTCTACAGTTTTTATGATGTTTACACTGGGAATCATTTTTACTCACATGCCAAAAATAAATGCACCTGGCAAGCATGAGCAAGATTCATACACTTAAAAAGAGCGGCTGCCCCTTGTAAAAGCCCACTGATGCCAGTTCCGGATTTATCAGTTCAAAGGAGAAAACCGCCGGGTCAGTCCCTGCGGCGTCAAACCTAGAATCTCAGAAACCAGCCCAGGGGCCCAATGCTGCCAGCTCAGGACTCATTTCAGCTGCCCTTACCGTGGATCCTGTGGATGGAAGCGATGTGAGGCATGCTGTTTTCATAGGCTTCTCTGCTCTCTGGGGAAGACTTGGTGAGGGGCAAGGCCGCGCGAGAGCCCCACCAGGGCTCCCTCCCGGCCTGCGGCGTTCCCAGGAAGTACCTGCCTGCCTCACACCGGCCTCCCTCGCAGGCCTGCGTGTGGAAATGCCTCTCCTCCACCAGCCTGGAATGGTCCAGCGCAAAGCCGTAGCAGAGAGAGCTGCGGTCAGAGAACTGTCTGTAGGCGCACGACGCGTCGTGCTGGGAGCCCGGTCTCTCCGCGGGGTCCAGGAGCTGAGGCGAGGCCGTGTCGGTCAGCGGACTTCCACCCCACTGGCTGTCGTGATCAGACTCAGATCTTTCCGTGTGAAATCCTGAATACTGAAACCAAGAGAATGAAAAAAGTACATTTCAAAAAAAAAAAAAAAAAGGTGGGGGGGAGAAGGCCTTTTTACTCAGCCATACACCATGAAGGTCATGTTGGGCTTCAAGGCACCAAAATAAACTCTACAAACTCTGGCCCCACACTGGGCACTGGGAATCACTTAATTAGTCACGCAGGAGGTAAATGAGGTAATGTCAGGGATGAAGGAACTAAACACCAGGCACAGCAGACGGGCTTCACGTGAGTGACCTCACCTCGTTCTTCTATCAACCCTTTAACGAAGATATTAGTGACCCATTGCATGAATAGAGAAACTAAGGCCCAAGAGAGAAAATGATTTGCTCAAGGCCACAGGGGAGCAGGTGGCAGAGTCAAAATTCAAACCCAAGTCCTTCATCCTTTCCCGCATGGTATTGCCAGAGGGAGAGCCCAAGAAAGCTCCATATATCGTTCCCATTCGCCGTTCAGATTTTTTTTTTTTCTTAATTTAAAAACAAAAGAAAAATAAGGCCCAAAGTGCTGTACCTTCACTCTTCACACTGGCCTGTGAACTCCCCGAGGGCCATGCTGGATACATGCTCGGACAGCTAATGAAGGCTTAACTAATTCCATGGCAATATAACTTTTTAAAAAGACTGGCGCATATGGGCTGAAGCCAGTCACTAGGAGGCATTTCTTGCTTTCCTAGGTAAAACTCCAAGTATGCATGGGATCCTCAGAATAAAACAGCCGCACAATACTGTGCCTCGTTGGGAGTCATACCGTTCATCTGCTGTCAGCTATCTAATCTGGCACTGAAAGAAAATGCCAGAGGTTTGGCAGACCTCCCTAGGAGATATGCTCAGCTGGAAGTTCCTCATGAGCCACTCAAATTAATAATATAGTTTCTACCAGTTTTTGGTTACACAAAGCTAAACACAAGTCTAGGTCCCATACAGCGGTTACCTGTTCTGACAATCATAGGTGCCATTTATTGAGACTTTACAGTGTGTCTGGCGGTTGCTAATCATGGTACGTACATTCTATCACTGAATCCTCACAACCCCCTGGGCAGTAACAGGGCTCCATTTTACAGATGGGAAAACTGAATCACTGAGTGTTCTAATAAGATGGAACGGCCACCTGCGGTCCATCCGGCTCAAAGCCTGCCCTCCAACCATGTTTTACAGAGAAAACACTGTCAAGGAAGAGAGGAGAGAGAAAAGGATCCAGTGTTAGAGACATTCCCAGAAAAGAAGCAGGAACCAAAATATAGTCTCTAGAACCAAAATATGAGTCCATTACATTTTTTTTCTTATCCCGGGAGAAAGAGGGATGGATGTGTGGTGCTGTGGGGGGCCCAGGAGAAATTCAGGCAGTTCTGGCTAGGGGCTCTTGGAGCCAGAGAGATGCGGTACAGAGGTTCTGGGGGAACCCCGAAGTCTGCTAATAACACAGCATGATCAGGAAGGAGTTCTACACAAATTCCAAGCTCGAGATCTTTCTGTTACCATACCTCATTATTACTTTAATTATTTTCCAAGGGTACATATGGACTATCAGCATATGCCACCAAGAAAAAAAAAAATAGTAAATGCAACTTCTTTCCCTGAAGAACCACAAGGCACCCAAAGTACCATTTCCCTACATCACACTTCCATCTGCCGTCAGCCTTTTCTCCCCATGAATACTGGGCTCTCATTTTATGAGACACCACCTTCACTTTCACTGAGGGAATGTTGGTACCCCTTTCTTTATTGAGGGGGAGTCAGAGTGCCATACATTTGCCCTTTGGTAACACCATTTGTGCACCTGCCTAGGAAAATTTCAGATCCTCAGTGCTTTTCCAAGCTAGGAATTGCCCAGACTCTTCTTGTTTTGATAAAAGTATAAACCAGGCCTATTTCTGAAGTACTCCAGTCAAGACTTTTGAGCCTTGTTGAGAGGGGAAAAAGCTTTCCCTGAGTGTGTATGGGAAAGTGCTATTGGCGCAGCACAGAAGAACATTCTGTCCTTCACTCACAAAGAAAATTCAACACAAGGCAACCCAGGCATACATGAGGTACATGTTTCAAGAGCACCCAAAGAAGAATTTGACGGATAAGCCTCTTGTCAATAGTCAGGAAACTATGACAGCAAGTACACTGTCCTTGAAGCAGGCGGAAGTTGGGTGGTTGAGTTAGACCAAGAAGATCGGTAGAGAGCAAAAGCCTAGATGCAAACCTTTGTTTTTCAAGACCTGTAAACCTGCACCTGCGTGTATCATCAATCCTCTGAGCCACATTCACCCCTTTAAAATGAATGGCACTGGATGTAAACTCTGGTGAGAACCCTAGAGACCCACACATTGATCTGAAAAATTTCAGGTGTTTGTCAAGTCATAGAGGGAAGAGAGAGAGCAGAAAGGAAGGCAGGCGGCCAGTACATGCAGAACGTGCCATACACTCAGTGGGTGCTGCATGAGGTGTGAGATCTTCCTCACACCTACCTTTGCTGCTTACTACATATACAACCTTGGGCAAGTAATTTAATTTCTTTTGTCCCAACAGGAAAAGGCTCATGAAGATACTTAACTTATCAAAGGCAAAACCAGAATGGGTGCCATTTAATGGAAGAGGAAATAGGTACAGGGAACCAAGAGAACCTGATTCCAGGTCCACCCCTGCTAGTAACTCTTAGGGTAACCTTGGGCAAATTACTTTACCTTTCTTAGGCTCCCCCATAAATGATATATTGGATTAGGTTAGATGCTCTCTAACTTTTCTTTCAGCTTTAACATTCTACATGATAGAATCATTATTCAGTATCCTTTCTAGTGTTAAAACATAGGATTCCTGTGCCTGTCCTTATATTTTACTGATTTAAAGGAGATAAATTACTTAGAACTATAATCCAAGTCCAGGAATTTTTATTGTCATGGTTATAAAAAGAAAGTTGTTATGTAAGTTTTATTTTACTATTATGTAAATGTTCCCCCAAGTGTCCCCTTAAAGCACAAGTTTTATAGGGACTACATGATGCCTTTTGGTCAATAAATTATCATATTCTAGAGGCTTCTGACAGGATAATGACAGCCATTTGAATGTGTACCTCTTCACAAATACTACCCCTAGAACAAAGAGCACAAACGGAATCACCCATGACCCATGCTATCGGCATTACTGAGAGGGAGAGAGTATGCTAAATTTCAATTTATAAAAAATAAAAATAAAAAGTCAAACAGCAAACACTATGAACCTGTGGGTCCAGAGAGCAGGGTAAGGGCAGGTATAAGAAACTCCGAGAGTGAGATGTCAACCAGAGAAGAGAGAAAGAAAGAAGTCTGAGAGAAAGAGAGAGAGAGTGAGTTTAGGACAAAGGCAAAACAGACAAAATTGTCCATAGAAAGAAAAAATACATCACAAGTAAGTGCCAAAATAAGAACAGAAGTCAGTATCTGGTAGTTCACCATACTGGCCACAGGGAAAGGGCTCAAAATCAAACAAAATCTAAGGCAGCAGACTGGGACAAGTATCGTTTTCATAAGAGAAAAATGTAAATTGAGAATGCCTTGTGTCCGAAAGGAGATAGCAGTGAAAGGAAAGGAGGAAAGGGGGAAACTAGGGATCCAGAAAATAGAAAAGAAAAAAAAAAAAAAGACAGGAGAATCCCTTCTTTCCTCTCTACCACTGTCGTCATCTATTTACACAACTGTATTTCACAATATTGATAAGATAGGGTCCTTTTTAAATAGTAACTCAACCCATGAAATGCTAAGGAGTAGGGGAAAAAATTAAACTCTCTATAAAACTTCTGTAGGAAAACAAAACATGAAATGGAAACACGATCATCTCAGCTGATAAAAATTCTCATCAAATAACCAACTATGTCACAAAGGAAAGTTGTAAAACAACACACCAACCTAAAATAAGCACACGCGATGTACTTGGGCACACATGCTCAGAACCAGAAATGTTAAAACTAAGCGATGGACCCCAAAACCCCACCTAACAACAACAACAACAACAAAAGAGGAAAAAAGGCAATGAAAACTGACCAAACACACAGAAATTGAATAAGTGAAGAATAAGTTGCAAGTTGTGAAGAAAAGTATAGATTTGAATGAACATTTAATGAGGGAAATTGAAGATAAGTTGGAAAACATGTAAGGATACAAAAATTGGGTAGAGAAAATTAAAAGGTCAAAGTAGTTGAAAGAAGATAGAAAAGGCTCAATACATACATAGTGTTTATGTAGAGGCAAAGGAACTAGAATTGTCAGAACAATTTGAAAAAGAAGAATATAATGAAAGAGAAAATCAACTTCAAGACTTACCATCATAACTGTGTGGTATTGATGGAGAAATACATGTACAGATCAATAAAACAGAATACAGAACCCATAAAGGAAACCATACAAATACGCCCAACCAATTTTTTACAAAGGTGCAAAAACAATTCAACAGAGGAAAGACAGACTTCTCAACAAATGGTTGCTGAAATAATTGGACATCTACAGGCAAAAATAAAATGAACCTCAACCCAGGTCTCATACCTTATATAAAAATTAACTCCAGTGGATCACAGACTTAAATATAAAATATAAATATATAAAAAACTTAAAAAATAGAAATATAAAATTGTAAAACTTTTATAAAATAACAAACAGAAGAAAATCTTTAAAATCCGGGACTAGGTAAAGATTTTTTAGACTTGATACCAAAACACGTGCATTTAAAAACTTTTTGGTAAATTGGACTTGATCAAAATTGAAAACTTTAGCTTTGTAAAAGATTTTGTTAAGAGGATGAAAAGAAAAGCTTTAGACTAGGAGAAAACATTTCAAAACCACATACCCAACAAAAGGACTAGAATCTAGAATATAAAGAACTCTCAAAACTCAATAATTAAAAAAAGGGGGCAAAAGACCTGAAGAGACATTTCACCAAGTAGATAATAAGATGACAATCACATGAAAAGATGTTCAATATCATTAGCAATTAGGGAGATGCAAATTAAAACCACAATGAAATATCAC